GTCCGTCCCTACACTCCTCGACCCGTCCTCGAAATGTCCCCCGGGTCGCTAGTCTCCCGCAACTTACCATGCGATGATTCGGGACGTAGTCGTGCAGATACAACGTGTCTAGTAGTCTCGTCATTCGGCGGACTCCCCACGTGAACCTTGTTGGTTAGTTATTGTTAGTCCCTTAGTTCGGCCCATTGTACTTACTTCGCTTGTTGGATGGTACGTATCGGTTAGGTCCAACACCATCCGTCGTCACCCCTGACTCGTCGATACCCTCTCACACGCATACCGATACATATAGAGTCGTTCCAACTCCTTTAGCCCTTTACTAGCAAGTTTGTAAAATAATTTCCACGTGTTCGTTTTAGTTAAAATTGCCCGTCGGTTATCTTTTTTTTTTTTTTATTGAATAGAATATCGTCGGAAAAGCAGTAAATAAGGTTGTAAAATCTCCTATTATTTTCGTTCAATTTGAACAAAGGAGTACACAAATTCGTCGGAGGAAAACTTACAAGATGACATTTACACTAGACATACAGTCGTACTTGTTATTTGTGAACCAGGACGGGAATCGTATGCGTTTGATTAACAAATCTAGTGGGAACTACAGGTAATAAGAAACACTTATTAATGATTCCCCTCGCAGATATTTTTTCGCGGAAGGACGTCCCACGTCTCCGACTGCGGGGACCATTGATTTTACGGGGTGTTCGTATAACGAGACAAAATGTTTATCGTAATGTATATATCACTTTCGTGTGTCCTGGTTGGTACATAAAGTCGACTCCGTTTCAACTCCCTTTTCATTCATACCAGTTAAATTTTAAGGAAATCTCTCTACAAGTGAGGAGGGAGGCGACTTTGTCCTGTGTCCAGCCAAGAAATTTTACCTCGGGCAAAAAGAACCGCAAATTTGGATCGGAGGGAAGAAGGCAATGCGGCACTCTTGATGTGTTCGTTGTATATGATAGTCTATGTAATGATCACATGTGGTATCGTTTTATATGTTTACTTTTATCCTGTACTGCGCGCGGGTACTTTTGCATTTGTTTATGGGATATACATATTTGTATAAGTGTATTTTTGTATTCGGGATTGTTGGAAACGTTATTTTGATCTCTCTGTCTGTACATACAAACTGAAAGATTGACATTAAAGTTGACTTTGAGACCTAAAGTAGGAATAAAGTGGTATTTGGGAAGGGAAGACGGTAGCAAAGAATTGAGAAATAGTAAAGTGTATTCAGCCTGTGTAAACATTTATATAATTTCACTTGTGGCACTGAAGGAACTTTTTAAAGTCTGAGAAATGACTCTGAAGATGTCCTCAGGTGTATCTTGTCTAGACTCAGAGCCAATTCCAAACCAGCCACATCTCCTGACTTACTTCCACTAGCTAGGAGGGTCCACCACATTAAGTACCACCCCAAACCAATTAACTTAGAGGGGCGCTGGGTAATAAAATCCTCAAACTTCATGTTATATCTATGCTGACCAAACAAACTGTCCTTACTGAGGAAGTGGCATTTTATTTTGTGTCCGTCATACAACAAGAATGACTGCTCCAACTATGAAAGACATTTAATAGTCTGTGCATCTCTGCCTCTGATGCTTGGCCATTTATTTTCATTACCTGCCTCTTCATAGACTAAAGTGCAATACTTAACTGCTGAAGTGCATCCTTCAGGATCAGGATGTTATTCTACCAATTTGATGTTGTATAGAGAAAATGAATACAAATACACAAGATTCACATGATGCTAATGTTTGCAGGAAATATAATATTTGATTCAATACTGACATCTAAGGCTGATACAGAGACCAAGTTATACGACAACAGATGGTCTTCAACACAACCTTATTGCTCAAGGGGTCATTTAATCAAAACGACAAAAGAATTGCCCTTTTGATGTCTGCAAATGCAATAAAGACAATTGGAGGATTTTCTGGAACCACCTTGGCAAAGTTGAGTTAAAGAAAAGCAAAATGTCTGTGCTGCTCAAAGCTTTGGAAAATGTCATTTAAAAAACTCAACAACACGTCCTTCAAAAAACAATGCCCTGCACGCTCAGGATAATCCAAAGACCCTGCTGTCGAAAGTTTTCATCAGGAAACATTTTCCGTCTAAGGAAAGAAAATAATTGTGTGAGCTTTCAATACATAACCCAAAAACAAACCAGACAAACATGGATGTGTTTCCAATATGCCCTTGAGCTAGGCATTTGTCTGCAGATTTACCTTTGTAGAGGTGCTTTCTGATCAAGAACAAAAGTTTGTATTGTCTTCAAAGTTGAGTGTCTTTGTCTGTGCACTGCCTCATTGTCATTCTCTCTACTCATAAAAGTCTGCCTTTCTACCACAGAGGGCTGAAGACTGTCCATTTAACGGTGGCAAAACAATGGGAAAGCCAAAGTGAGTCTCCACAGCTTAAAGTGATTAGATGAGTTTCTCACTAATCCCCACCTTGAGCAGGTAGGAGAACGCTCCCAGGGCTACCAATCGATTTGATACACACACACACACACAATAAAAGCCTTTCACAATCACCTCATCAAAACATTTCAGGGGACCTGGGCTCATTTTAATTCCACCTTCTTCTTTTTTGTTCCACACAAAATGGCAATTACGTCCAGCGTATTAACGAAGCCGCCCAACGATGGAACCATTAAGAGATCCTAGACAAACAGATCGATCGGACATACAAACGGACACGTGAAGGAATGAGGGGGGGGGGAAATCTTTAAAGAAGGCATTGGGCAAAAGTGGATACAAAAATAATAGTGCACACAAACAAACATGCTTTGTCCAGGCAGCTGTGACGGTTGTGTTCTAAATGGACCATTATAGCACAAACAGGCAGTAGACGTATTGATTGTTGGCCCTCAGCAACTGGAGTCATCTGAAAGGCTTTGGTCCATACAGTGGTGGAGATTCCTGCTTTAAGATCCCAGGGGAGATTTGTTTTTGTTTTTGAATCCCGATCGATAATTAGTGATTTCTGTACAGGTCCCTGTTTTCATGTAGTGTGTTTACAGCTATGACCGATGAGTCTGAGATTTGTGCGATGGTCCGCAAGATGGTTTTTGACGGGAGCGTTTTAAAATCCAATCATTACAAACAAATAAAAACTAATGAGAAGATAATTTTTGTATCATTAGAGATGAGTTCTAACTCGTGTGACATTCATACTCATTCATTTTAACAGGAAAACAAACACAGGGTCAAAGTGTGTGAATTGGTTTATAGTTGATGGACAATCAAAGTGAATCTCACGGAGTATTAAAAAACGTTTTACACCTTTAGTGACGGAGATGACTTGCAGTTCTTATTTACTTATGTGCACGCCTTCTCTGCAGCATTTCAACAACAAATCCAGAGCTGAACTCACGTGGACTCTATTTTTGTTAACTCACTGATTGAACAGTTTTGCAAATGCAAACGTACGTAAATCGAATTATCTGAAAATGATGCTGCACTTAACCGCAGTGTTGTTATCGTATCTGGTGTTAAACTTAAGAAAGAAATAGTGGAGGATGACTTTTTTTTATGGTGTTTTCAAACCTGTGTCCTTTAGTCCTTTTAAAATGTAACCCTGGTTGGTTTTCCTCCTTGGTACAATTTGTTTGGGCAGCTCTGAAAGCAGCAATCATAGCGTGGATCAAAAAGGTATTGAGACCTGTGTTTACTTTTCAGCCTGAGGCACTAACCGATGAGCAGAGCAAACTGGCTTTTAGTGAAGCATTTGGATTCTGGAGGGAAAATGGAACAAGTTTGCCAACTCGTCCACGCAGTAAACTAGAGGTTTGGAAAGGTCCTTCAAGACTGCAACCAACCTAATATGCCTCAAATAGGGAGACATAACAGCTCGGTCTGGCTGTTAACAACCTTTTTTTTTTGTTGCAAATCCAAAAAAAGCAGGTTAGGTGTGAAGTTACTGTTAGGGTGCTGCATGAAAACAATTCCCAGGTAGTGTGAAATTGAAGTGGACCAACCACAAGATTTATACTGTGAGAAGCTACTTTTAAAATCCATCTGTATATGATGAATCAACGACACGTAATTCCCTGATCAATCAGAAATGAAAATGAGTTGGAGGTGTTGTGCCTGCGGCGTACTCTGTGTACTTTAGCAGTTTCCCTTTATAAGGTCAGTGAGACCTCGCGACCACACCGTGATGTCTGTCGTCATAACTTAAGTAATGAGTATTTATTTTGTTGGTCAGGATGGCAGTGTATAACTTCATGCCTACAGCTCTTGGGTCATGTTTTCAAAGTGTGACCTGTATCTTCTTCAAATATTGTCACTGGGTTCACAAGCAGAAACACTTGGACTTATTATAAATAGTAATTTAGTTGATTTTAACTTTTTTATTTGGCCTGTGAGGAAGGATAAAGAGAGGGTTAGGGTTAGGTTAGGTTAGGTATACAAGTTTAAGTTCTTATGAAGCCTTGAAGGATTCTGGTTTGAATGAATCCTCCAACTCTGTAGGTAAGAAAACAAAGCTTATCTAATAACAATGTATATTTTAAAGGCCAATGTATAAGTCTATGCAAGCATCCTTCACCACAAGTCCTCTTAACATATCGCATTTTGAAACTCTTAAGAGAAGATTAACCAAAAGAAGATTGCCCTTTTATCTGTGAATACGGATGATTTATGAGATATGATTATTGAGATTAAAATACAGTGAAGCAAGAGGCTTAGTGTATGTGAAGGGCATTTCCTATACTATATGAGATACTGGAGGGAGATTTGTTAAAGGAAGTACCATAAAAGAGAATGTTATACAAATGGAAATGTAGTAGTGTCAACCTGTTGAGTACATCACTGATGGGGGTACATTTCAGGAGATATTCCTTCACCTAACATTCCCTTTAGGATGATGAAATAAGCAATATGAACGGGTGTGTTCAGGAAAGATCAAGCTTAGGGAAGAAACGTCTCTCCCTAGCCTACACACACACACACACACACACCTAAAAAGACACAGCACACACATTTTAGACGTACCAGAAGTTCTTGAAGGGCGTGTTGATTTCAAAGCCCCTGCGGTCCACGTCTCTAATGTTGGCAGCAGCCAGTTCCACTTCAGCTATAGCCAAGCCCGATTTATAGTCCTTGATTGACAAAAAAAGGAGAGATGAGGATCTGTAGATTTAATAGAGAGGCGAAGTCCCTCCCTTTCCGGGGAGCTCCATGGGACCTTATTTTGGAAAAATTATGTATTGAAGTCAATGGTTAGAGAAAGATTATCTTTCGATCCTGTTTGAATTGTGCCACGAATTATACATATGTTTGTCAATTTAAAAGATAATTTTGCAAGTAAAAAAAAAATAAAATGTTGTAAAACTGTGAAGTAACACATTTTTTGTGTGAAACCGCTCAATGAACTACATCTCCCGTCTCGCACCACACACCAAGACGGCCGTCACGTTGGCACATTTCACTTCTTTCTTTCAGAATGAGGCGAAAAGTATTAAACGAGGTGAAAATCACTACAAGTCTGGGCATGTTGAGAGCTGTACATACACACAAGGGGAGTTAGTCGGTTCTGTAAGAGCCAGTATGCGGGACCGGGATTCTGGGATTTGTAGTCTTTCTAGTTGCGTATTTTTCATAGTCTTATATTTCAACAGTTTTAAGACAAACTGCGACTTTTTTGACATGGAAATTATTTTTTAAGATTGACAAACATCATATGTGCAATTTGTGGCACAATTCAAACGGGATCGAAAGATACGTTTTCTCTCCCCATCGACTTCAATACATAATTGTCCCATGGACCGGAAGTAGATGGGCGGGACTTCGAATATAGGAATATATTGTGAAGTTGTTACATTACAGTGCATCATCAACATGTATTGGTACCACAGGAAAAAACTGTTGTTCAAGCACTGGTCAACATTGAGATTTTGGGCTTGTTTGCTTCCATAACGATTCTTCTTTCCGACGAATGGAAACAAAACAATAATACACTTAAGAGGGTTTTCTTTTACTAGCTTCTGTTCAGTTTGTGTCTGTACATTTCTGCTGAATTCAGCAATAGTTAGCATCATAAAATGCCTAATTTAAACATATATTTAAGAGAAAACTTGAAAAAAAGGATAATTTTCTAAATGTTAGTTTTAGCAATTTGAGAAGTGATTTCTAATACTTTTTTAGTATATCCTTCTTTCTTGAAGCTCCTTGAAAAAATCTTTGTTTTATTTTCTCTTTGTTTATACTTAAAGGCCGATGAGTTTTCTAGTATTCTGAGCCAGAGATCTCTACTTCAGCAGCACGACATCTTTCAAGTTTCATCCCCATCTATATTCCGAAGGTTCTTACAGGAGTTTATTTCATACATCATTCATAGCCTGATTTATATAACATTTGAGTCCTAAAAACTTGGAGAAAACAGATTTATTTTATGGCTGCTGAGAGGATTTTCCTTATTTATGAAGTGATAAAATAGAGATATCAACAAATCTACATGAAAACCCATTGAATTTAATATGCCAACAAAATGGAATAAACATGTTGAACCTTGCTTTGTCTGACGTTCAGTTTTCTGTCCTTGAAATATGTGCAATTGAACACATAGTGAGCTAATGCCTTTTTGCGTTATAGAACATACCAGTTTAGAAAATGTTAAATACAAAATATATGTAAATAATCAATTGGGAAAAGTTAGCTGAGATTTAGATTAGAAGATAAATACCGCTGACTCTTTATTATAAATGTGAAGCTACCGCTAACAACTATGTAGCTTCGCTTGGCATTTTATGGTGGGGGGGATGTCCAAGTGTCACTCATCAGAAAAGTTAATTGTTTTTTCAGACTAAACCAATATTTTTTGAGTATGTTAGGTATTTGTTGATAGATGTTTGGCCAAGGTAGCTATTTTCTTGTCTTTATGCTAAGCTAACCTAAATGATGCTTCCTATATTCTATACTGATGCACTGAAAGCATATAGGGAGAATACTTTCCCTGCTACCACTGTGACTGCAAATTGTAGAAAAAGGAATCTTCTTTGTCTTTGATGACTTCCCCATTTTAATGAAGTTAAAAAGGTACACATGCAAATGTTCAAAAATAAATCCAGAAACATTTTAAGACACCCACATAAGAGAAAATGTATTCCCAAAGGGATCTGGAATTATAAGGGTCCTTCCCTAGACACCACCCAGGGGCCGTTTTTGGCCAAATTAGACACCCTTTCTGATAAGGTGGCATCCACAAGGTGGCCTCATTAAAGTGTTTCTCGCATAGGACTTGAATGTCACTTGGTCTAATGAAAAGTAGCAAACACAAAAGAAGACATACACTCAAAGTAAATACATCCTCAGTCTCGGCTACTCTTTTTCCCGCACTAACGTTTTTATTTTGGTAAATGGCACTGGACGTTATTTTAAGTGTGAGAGAAAATAGTCTGTGACAGACCAATCACAGTCATCTGCTTTTTCTCCTTGGCACCAATGACGCACAAGCTAAGGCTGTGCATGGCGTTTGGATGCGTGTGTGACAGACAGAAAGAGAGGCTGGTGAGTGCGTATATACCTGGAGAAAACGGCGTAGTTATAGAAAGGTAAAAGGTGTCTCAGGGGAATCCAAAGCAACCCAAGCTCTCAGCCTCTTAAGACCCATTTCAGAAATAGGGGTTATAAGCAGAAGCAGAGTTTTCCTAAGCTCCGCTGTAACTCTGCTTCACAGCGCACACCGCCCCTCTCCGCTTCACCTTCAACACTCACTGCAGTTTAGACCATTTTCCATAGCCTAGAGCTCAGAGCAGAGACAGAAAAACAGACAGGAAGAAGTACAGCTACACCCACACAAGTATAGGCACAACATCAAAATAGAGGGAAAGAAACACAGACATCCAAGATTTCAATAGAGAAAGAATGCACAGGCGAAGCCAAAAACGTGAGTCAAAAGACGAGGGAGAGAACGACAGCGAGAACACAATGGGATGGGAAGTATAAGAGAAAGAAGGCCTTGGTAATCCCTGGTGAGAGTGGGTGAGATGAGTGAGGGGTCAGCTGAGCGATTGACAGAATGAAAGTGTGTGTGTGTGTGTGTGTGTGTGTGTGTGTGTGTGTGTGTGTGTGTGTGTGTGTGTGTGTGTGTAAAGCCAGAATAAATCAGGAGCTGCGCCAACACTCCTCTACAGCGACTTACAGAACACCGCCTAAGCGAGGAGAGCTAAATGCTGCCATGCTGTGCCAGCCATAAAAACATGCGTGTTTTCTCTGCTAACTGTTCCCCACCAAGAAAACAATTTGCACTAATTACACTAAACAAAGAGAAGAAAGTGAATGACACCATCTTTGTTGATTAGGATGGTTTTTGGGAAGACATGGCCTAACAGAAGAGAGACAAATGTGTGCGAGTTGCCAAATTCTACATCTAATTAGCCACAAACTTCTCAGCACGGCTACATTTTACAAAACACATGGAGGAAGTCACTTGAATGCTTGCGTGCTGCAGGTTTTTCAACCAACTGTGTGGGTCGGTTCAATTGGGGCTAATGTTGTAATGTGTTCATCATTAGCCCCAATTAGACTACGTTGAACACATTTAGATGACTGTGTAAAAAAAGCAATTATTCTACTTTCCTAACACTTCTGGACAATGATATTGAGACCGAATGAGAGGAATGGAAATATGGTGACATGCTAGCATGAAGATCCGTGAAGCATTATGGGTAATAAAGGCACTGTGAGCTCAGAAGACGGCAAAAGATAAAAGGACAGAGGCAAGGGAGCGAGACAAGTGAATTCACTCGATGGCAAAGTCCTAATTGAGCTCAAAGTTGAGATTTTCCTCAGAAATAGAAGAATCTTGCCTTTTTTATTCCATCCATTACAGATACAGTCATTGCTCTTTAAGATCCGGTATGTTCCGTAGGTTGAAGACGCATGACGGGATAATGAGGGTTGCTCCATTCAAAGCGCATTATCGCTTCTCAGTTAAGGGGAGTATCTTAAATGCAACACAAGGCTATGATTTAAAACACAGAAGGACGAATGGTTCCCATGTATCATTGTATAATTGTTCTGCTTCACACTGGAAGGCGCCTACACTGTATGTACTGAATGTATGTGCATGAGAGTGTGAGGCTGTGCTGAGAGGGCAAAGCAGTCACCTATACCTAATGACCCTCATCCCTCTCAGGCAGCCAATTAGAGCGCTGGGTGTTAGCGGCCGTCCAGCCCTCGCCACTCGTTACCTACCCAATATGTGCCGTGGCCTCCTGCCCTCTCCAATTAATTCACCGAGGATGGAGGGAAGGAGGGATGAGGAGAGGAAGGAAAGGCATTAGAGGTAAAAATAACTCTGCCAATTACAACAGCCAAGAGGTAGGTGGCTATAGGGCGCTTTAGGGAGGGGAAGGGCCCTAAGGGGTAATGTTCATACGCGTGCAGGTTTTTCGGGACTTTTTGTCCACGTGTCATAATACATTAAGCTAAAAGACTTTAACCCTTTGGAGTCGACCGTCACGCCGGCGTGATCAGATCACATGACCTGTTCAAGCCGGTGCCGCATAAAAACAACAGTCCGGACAGCATTGCAGTGTGTTTCTATCGAAAGTACTGGCTTGAAACTATATCCCAGTCTTTGTTTCATGCAAAAAGACCCAGTAAACACGGAGATACGATGATATAAAGTTAATACATTTCAAAAGTATGAAAAATAGAAGCACATATTTGAATATCTTCGCCGTATTTGATCATTTTACGAAACGGAAAATACTGGAAACTGTAGATCCTGCTCAACAGGATGTATATGTGTATTTCTGTCGAAAGTACTGGCTTGAAACTACAGGACTGTCTCAGAAAATTAGAATATTGTGATAAAGTTCTTTATTTTCTGTAATGCAATTAAAAAAACAAAAATGTCATACATTCTGGATTCATTACAAATCAACTGAAATATTGCAAGCCTTTTATTATTTTAATATTGCTGATTATGGCATACAGCTTAAGAAAACTCAAAAATCCTATCTCAAAAAATTAGAATAGTTCCTCAGACCAAGTAAAAAAAAAAGATTTATAACAGCAAAACACAATCAAATATAAATCTTTTTTTTTTACTTGGTCTGAGGAACTATTCTAATTTTTTGAGATAGGATTTTTG